CAATGGACAAACTGCTCTCGATCTAGCCTTTGAGAAGCGCTTCCTACCAGCAGTTGAATTCATCCCAGGACCAAAGTCTGAAAACAAAATTATAACTGCCTGGCTTAGGTCCTGAAGCTGACTAACTAGAAATGCTTATTGTTATATGGTTATAAGTTGGACTGAAAAAATATGGGTGGATGCCCAAACCAGGTGATGGATGATCTTAGCAGTCAATTAATTAGATTGCATTACCAAGTATAACCTTAGTGCTATTTTTGTATATCAATTATCCAAACAAAGTTTATATTCCCATGATATTCAATATGTCTTTTATCTGGGCAACCAGACCAACATAAGAGAATACCAGGGTTATTCACTATTATTACTATAATTTATGTACAGTGTCAACATATTCCATGGCAATTTATAATTATAGAAATGGGACATTTGAATGGAACAAGTTTACAATCCATGAGGATTTGAGGTAGACAGATGTACCTTGCTAGACATCTAAGTAGATAGACTTGGATTTGAACCCAAGTCTCTCACTTCTAAGGCAGTGACATTACCACTGCTCTAACCTGTCGAGAAATGAAACAGAAATGACTTGGAGAATTTTTTAAATTCAGCTATTTTGGCCTTAATTTTGAAATTCACTTCGAGCTCACTGTGAATTTCCAACCGTTACAGAAAGCAGTTTCAGTGAAAACCCCTGAAAATGCTGTCCACAATAGGCAATTGAGTACTTGTAAAGACGTGTGCCTGCTTTTTATGATGCTGAAAAAGTTTCACATCTACTTTAAGTCCTTGATATGCTCGTTCTGGTCCGTGATGAACAGTTTTACCTAGAAATTCTTTATTGTCGCTGATTGTCCCAGCACGTTATAATTATCTTGACAAATATTGTTATTCCTAAAGGAGAGGGCGACTGTCATTCACCTATTCAGTTCTTTCCAATCATGAAATAATACTATTCAGAAAATAGAAACCAGAACTCGGTGCTTTGTGAACATGATTTTGTAACGTTTGACTTATGTTTCCTGTTCAAGTATCACTTTTATGTTCAATCACTCTAAAGTGGTGTATTGGTTGATTGCAGGGCTAGAATTTTCTTTTTTTTCTCAATTTCTCACACACTTTTTAAATGCTGATTTATGACAGATGCTAAGATGTGTTTGTTGCTTTCATTTTTTTTTTCTTCAATGCGAACACAATGGACATAATTAAAAATGCTAGCTTACAAAAAAATAGTGGTTGATCTTATCCGCAAATCATGGACCACAATGTATGCTTTGACTGGAATATTTTATAAGATATTGCTTCCATATGAAAACTAACAAACCACATACAAGTCTTAATAATGAATCACTTGAAGTCTTAGAACTCAGAAAAACTCAAATATGCAACTCTAAATGAACGATTTACTTCTGGTCAAATACTTCTCATAGAAATGACAGGTTTTTATTAGGAAAATTGATAAATATGGAGCAGAATTTCCAAATAAATTAACTGAGTCATATTGTAATGTATGGGATAAACTCATTGAGCTAGTCTGGGATTAGTTAAAAAGTCACTACAAGCACCATAACCTCATCATCTTACTGAAGTGGGTATAGTGCAAAGACTCTGTACCTACAAACTGTCTATCAGCCAGCTGGGATATTCCCTTCCAGGCTGTAAATCCCACTTAAAGCGGCTCTGCACCAAAAATAAACATTATCTAACCTGATTTTATAAAGCTCTCTGTATCTCAATTTATTTTATTTTCATGCGTGCTGACGTTTTCATAAAACACATACAGAAAAGCAGGGAATACTTTTCCTTATCTATAGCAATCAAGTTGACAATACGTCACAATGGGCAGAGCTTAAAGCAAGGTTCTGTTGCAGTTACCAAATGTATCCACAATCCATCAGTAAAAACAATCTCACAGAACGGAGAATAGAGGATATCATGGGAAGAGGAGAGCAAAATGGCTGCTCCCACAAGGCTGAGCTCTGGCACAAGGAAAAAAAGATAATAAATATAAATAAAGACAAGTTTGAAGGGGTGGAGTATAATTATACGATACCGGAAGCAAAAGAAAAGGAAAACCAAACGTTAAAAAAAAATCCATCACTGTACATTTCTTTAACCCCTTAACGCCGTTACGGTGTTCTATGCCGTCGCGGCTTTAAAGGGCTTTAAAGCCATTGTGGCGGCATAGAACGCCGTAACGGCTGCAGCCCCCAGGACCTCGGCGGTACTCACCTCCGCCGCGATCCTCTTCTGGAGGGCTGCCTGACAGTCCAGGCAGCCCTCCCCCAGCGAATGAGGCCCCCGGGGGCCATGTGATCGCTCTCAAAGAGCGATCACATGGCCCCCTATAGCTGGCTGTGGATCTGCCAGCAGGGGGACTCTCTGAAATATTAGACAGTCCCCCTGCTGGTGGGAAATGTAAAAAAAAAAATCATTAAACATGTTTTAAAATAAAATAAATATATTTATATATATATATATATATATATATATATATACTATATGTATATATATATATATTATATATATACATATTATATATATGTAACATCATACGTAATGTATTTTAATATTAATATAAGTACATATATTAATATTAAAATACACTTAGAATGACATTACATATATATAATATGTATATATATTATATATATAATAGATATATACACATTATTATTATTATTATTATTATTATGATATTTATAGAGAGCCGTCAAATTCCGCAGCGCTTTACAATGGGGGGACGAACAGACATGGAGTTGTAACCAGACAAGTTGGAGACACAGGAACAGAGGAACAGAGGGCCCTGCTCAATGAGCTTACATGCTAGAGGGAGTGGGGTAAAATGACACAAAAAGGTAAGGATAGTATTAGACTAATGACAGTTGCAGAAGAGGAATCAGTCAGGAGCTATTAACAGTTTAACTGATACGCTTTTATGAAGAAGTGGGTTTTTAACGATTTTTTGAAGCAAAAGTAGACAACCCGAGGTATTGCAAGTGGGGTATGTCCGGTCTTTCTTAGTAGCCACTTAGTCATAAACACTGGCCAAATATTAGTTTTTTGCTTTTTTCACACAAAAATAAATACGAACGCTAACTTTGGCCAGTGTTTGTGACTGAGTGGCTACTAAACATACCCCACTTTCAATACCTTGGCTTGTCTACTTTTTCAAATGGTATGCCATTGTTGGGGTAATTCTCATTCCTGGGCTGCCACACCGTCTCAAAGGTAACAGTACTAATCTGGCAAATTTCAATTTGAAAATAGAACATTCGATATTTGACCCTGTAACTTTCCAAAACACCATAAAACCTGTTATGGGGGGGTACTGTTGTACTGGTGAGACATTGCTGATTACAAATATGTGCATTTTTTTGCAGTAAAACCTAACAGTATTATGACATTAACAGCTAAAATGTCAGACGGAAATACAAATTAAAAAAAAAACGTATTTTCTCACATTTTCTTTTAAATTTTATTCATAATAAATTATGTTCCATTTATGAATAGTTAATGATAAATTAAAGCCCTGTTTCTCCTGAGCACTTAATGTGACAGCGGTGAATTACGGCTGAATAGCGCAAATTCCAGTTTTTGTTTACGTTTTGTTTTGATCAGAACGTGTACTATTGACTCCGTCCTGAAGGGGTTAAAATCACACTTATGAAAAATAAAACTAAAAGACTTTCAGTAAAACTACTTATTAAAAAAAACAAGCCTGGAATTTGTATGTGAAGTCTTTGGGGTTATTCACTAAATATCAATTGTTGAGACTTTAAAACCAGATTGCAAAATTCTGACTAACACAGTTGTTTGCCTTATACAAACGTTAAATTCCTTCCTGCACTTTTGAATCATTTTAGCTAACAAAATGGCAATTAACAAACTACACACTTTTAGGTTTGATGATTAGAAAGAAATGTTGGTTTATGATTTAATCACTGTTGGCATTTTATTAAAAAAATAAATCACTAGGTGCACATCCTGATGCAATGTACTCTGCATGCCTATGTAGTTGAGCTAGTATTTTTTACGAAACTAGTGCTGATGTGTTTTTGGACTAAATTTTATTATTTCCCTACAATTCAAGGTTGGGTGAATAGACCCCTTATAGAGTATACATGTGGTAAAACTGTTTACCTAATAACTAACTTTTAATAGCAATGGAAAGTATATTTCAACAAAGGGAAATATTTTGGGCCAAAAAAAAAAAAAAAGTTCAATGTATATGAACCAAATCATTGAATAACTAGTGGCAATCAATCAGAGACAGAGAAAAACATCTGGCTGTCATTTATTTTAATATATCTAGAATAGCTAAGAATGTTACAATTGGAAAAAATGAAATGATTGGTTAATATGTGTTGAGTAATAGAATAATTCATATCTTTAAACATCCTGAGGCAACCCTAAACATATAAAGGGACACTACAGTCACCAGAACAACTACAGATTATTGAATTTGTTCGGGTGAGTAGAATCATTGTCTTCAGGTTTTTTGCAGTAAACACTGTCTTTTCAAAGAAAATGCAGTTTTTACATTACAGCCTAGTGATAACTTCACTGGCCACTCCTCAGATAGCTGATAGAGATCCTTCCTGGGTCATGGCTGCCTAAAATGCATCCAAACATTCAGTATCTCCTCCCTCTGCATGCAGACACTGAACTTTCCTCATAGAGATTCATTGATTCAATTAATCTCTATGAGGAGACGCTTATTGGCCAGAGCTATGTTTGACTTGTGCTGACTCTGCCCCTGATGTATAGATGGATTGCTCCCAGTGTCTCTCGGTCTCCCTGTCTCCCAGTGTCCCTATGTATCACAGTGTCAGTGTCGCCCAGTCCCCTAGTCTCCTAGTGTCTCCTTGTCCCCATTTCTCCCAGTGTCCCCATGTCTCAGTGTGTCCCCATATCACTAGGTTACTAGGGTACACAGTGAGACATGGGGACACTGAGAGACCTGGGGACACTGAGACACTTGGGGACACTGGTAGACATGGGGGCACTTGTGGATACAGACATGGGGACAGTTGGAGACAATGGGACACAGACATTTGGGGACACTGGGAGACTTGGGGACACTGAGACATTTGGGGACACTGGGAGATTTGGGGACACAGAGATATTGGAACACAGACACTGGGAGACATGGGGACATTGGGAGACATGGAGACACTGAGACACTAGGGACAATGGCTGGGAGACAGACACTTTGAGACACTGGGAGACACTAGGCACACTGAGAGACATGGGGACACAGATACTGGGAGACTTGGGGATACTGGGAGACATGGGGACACTGAGGACACTGGCTGGGAGACATGGGGACACTACGGACACTAGCCGGGGGACATGGGGACACTGGGAGACATGGGGACACTGTGTCCCTAGTGTCTCCGTGTCTCACAGCATCCCCATGTGTCTCACAGCATCCCCATGTGTCTCAGCGTCCCCATGTGTCTCAGCATGTCCCCTAGTGTCTGTGTCCCCGTGTTTTCCAGTGTCCCCATGTGTCCCCTAGTGTCTGTGTCCCCATGTGTCCCCCAGTGTCTCAGTGTCCCCGTGTCTCCCTGCTGCACTTCCCCCCATCCCTCACTTACCTGAGCTGTAGTACTGCTGTCTAGACTCTCTGTGCTGTGTAGCTGCTCCCCCACGGATCAGTGAGTAGTAGAGAGAGGCAGGGATATGCTGTAACTTCCTATCCCTGTCTCTCTCCACACACAGTGATCCCTACTGGCCGGTGCTGGTATTGCAGAGTAATCTCTGTTTATACTAAAAAAAAATCTGCAATTGTATTGCCAGTATTACTGCAATACCAATATGCCCAGGCAGTCTCAAATACCGGCTGTGTCAGTAAAATACAAGTCAGGTGGCAAACCTAAGAGTAGTGTGTAAAAAAAAAAGTTACATTTTTTTTTTAAATGGGCCTATTCCATGGGCCTGGGCCTGGAGCTGCAGGTTCATCAGCCGCTGTGTTAATCCGGCTCTGACTTTGGATGGTGCATGCTTTTCATTTGTGAGCCACCCCATCCAACTGAGTTGCTCTGATTAGCAAATGCACAGGTTGAATTTTTTTCTCAGTCCAGCCATGGATGAGAACATCAGCGGATGATATTGCTATGGTTCCCAGAGTGTTACTTTAATAAAGGATATCAAGAAGCGACTGCAACAGAGAAGAACCTACTTGCATGCTGTTTATTCACTAAACTGAGATTTTGTTTACATGCCAAGTGCTTATTATGTTGCAATGACAGAAAACACATGGAGAGACAAAATATGTATACAACAGCTAGGTGCAAACCATATAGGCACTCCCTAATATGCCTAAATAAATCAATATATCATTATAACAGCCAAGATTAATACTACAAATCCTTTATTAGAACAACTAAAATAATCAATAAATATATATAGATCCAGCAACAAAAAAAGGCAAACAGTAAACCCCACAATAATTACCCAAATATCATAGGTCTCAAGTCAGAAACACGAGCCACCAATCCCCGCAACGTTTTGGCACCTACTGGCTGACTTTATCAAGGGTGACACCCTTTGTTGCTGGATCTTTTTATGTATTGATTATTTTAGTTCTTCTAATTAAAGATTTGCACTATTAATTGTGGCTGTTGTATTGTGCATTCTGTATATAAGGTGCTTATTATGTAACACACCCTATAGGCACATTGCAAAGGATAGAATTTTATTTTATAGAAACAGAATTGTGTTGAATTGAAAACTAACCTGCAAAATGTAGGCAACAATAATAATTCAGACACGTGCAATTTGTTTCGTTCCGAATGGGAATTCGGATGAATTTCGGGCAATTCGGTCATTCGGATGCTTCTGAATGTCCAAAGTGCCGAATTACCAAATTTCAGAAGTGCTGAAGTGCTTCAGATTTCTGAAAAGTATCAAAACAAAAGAGGGAGGGAAAATTACGTGAATGATGACAGGGGTAAGGGTAGGGCTATGGATAGGGTTAGGGGTAGGGTTAGCGGTAGGTGTAGGGGCATGGTTAGGGTAGGGTTAGGGTTATGTGTAGGGGTAGGGTTAGTGGTAGGGGAATGGTTAGGGAGCCCTACAGATGTTCCAAATTCCAAAGTTCCAAATTGCCAAAGTCCCGAATAGCCAAAGTTCGGAAATGCCGAATTGCCGAAGTGCTGAATTTTGGAAGTGCCGAATTTTGGAAGTGCCAAAGTGCTTCGGATTCTGAAAAGTGGCAAAAACAAAAGAGGGAGGAAAAATTATGTGAATGATGACAGGGGTAGGCTTATGGGTAGGGTTAGGGGTAGAGGTATGGTTAGGGAGCCCTACAGATGTTCCAAATTCTGAAGTTCCAAATTGCCGAAGTCCTGAATAGCCAAAGTTCCGAAGTACCAAATTGCTGAATTTCGGAAGTGCTGAAGTGCTTCAGATTTCTGAAAAGTGGCAAAACAAAAGAGGGAGGGAAAATGATGTGAATGATGACGGGGTAAGGGTAGGGCTAGGGGTAGGGTTAGAGGTAGAGTTAGATGTAGGGGTAGGGTTAGGGGTAGGGAGCACTACATATGTTTTGAATTCTGAAGTGCCGAATTGCTGAATTTCGGAAGTTCAGGGGTAAGGGTAGGGCTAGGGGTAGGGTTAGGGTTAGAGGTAGGTGTAGGGGCAGGGTTAGGGTAGAGTTAGGGTTATGTGTAGGGTTAGGGGTAGGGTTAGTGGTAGGGGTATGGTTAAGGAGCCCTATAGATGTTCCAAATTCTGAAGTTCCAAATTCCCAAAGTCCCGAATAGCCAAAGTTCCAAAGTGCCTAATTGCAGAATTGCTGAAGTGCCGAAGTGCTGAATTTTGGAAGTGCCGAAGTGCTTCGGATTCTGAAAAGTGGCAAAACAAAAGAGGGAGGAAAAATTATATGAATGATGACAGGGGTAGGGTTAGGGTTATGGGTAGGGGTAGGGTTAGGGTTATGGGAAGGGGTAGGGTTAGGGGTAGGGAGCCCTACAGATGTTCTGAATTCCAAAGTTCCAAATTGCCAAAGTTCTGAATTGCACATCCCTAATATAATTTATACTATTTTAGTATTTATAAACACAGCTTGACTATTTCAGTTTACATTTTTTTACATTTTTTTTCAATTAACTAAATTTTTTTGTTTAGGGAATAAAGTGTTTGACAAACAAAGTATAAACCAGAATGAATGTTACATGTATTTTGTGAAAGGAGAAAAGTAATTAATTAGGAATGGCAGAGTTATTAAACAGGACTCTGCACATCATCAATGAGCGGACTTTCATCTGATCTGTGACTTTTCTTGAATGTTTTATTAATTGATTGACTGATAGTTTAATGTTCTCATTTGCAAACAACAGGTAAAGTTCTGTGGAAAGAACCTTATTCCAAGTATGGATTCTTAACTAAAGTAATCATTCCCTTTAGGTCCTCTAGATGTCATATGGTTGGCAAGATATTTACTGCAGAGGCTTTTGTTACACCAGAAGGAGACAAGTATTCAAAACCTATTAACAATATATTTGTTATAAGAGCGTTACCAGAGATATTTTTCCCTGTTTTTTGGAAATCCTTCCCCAAGAATGAAAAGGTTATTTAAGAACACACTCAGACGTTCCACAATATAATAGCTAGCAGAGCAGTAGTAGCCACAGCAGTAGTTTAGCGAGTGACATCAGCCCAACAGCTAGATAATGATCTATTGTGTTTTCATGTTTTCCAGATCTTTGTAAGCTCCAAGTCAAAAAACAGAGCTTTAGAACATTTTTTACAAATCTATACTTGATATGATTAATTTCAGTTAAATCTTATAATTTCAGTTAAATATGTAAAATTGTATATTGCTCCAAAGAGGTCTGACAGCTGACTTCCAAATTCCAAGGGCAGTCCATCGATTACCAGGTAAGGTAAGGGTGATGGGTTCTATGTAGTTCTGCCCTTTAAAGTTTGTTCCCTATATGACATCATTGTTGATCTCTTTTCTTTGCACTCCCATTCCAGATCTCTGTGTCTAAGTCACTTGTATTAGATCTTTTGATCATCAAGTTAATTGAAGTGAAAGTCTTTTGATCAATCACTAAAATCCTTATTATGGTAAACTGGTGTGAGAATATTTAACATTTGAATTCAAAGTAATTGACACATTTGAATGGCAATAATAAGCTGATAGGCTGATGATTGCTTTCTGTGGTCCAACACGCTCAGCCTATCATTTACATTCAGGTTAGATGAAATGGTACTGGATACGTAAAATGTTTTGAGTTATTAGTGTATCTGGAGATGGACTGGGCCATGGATGCTAGGGAGAGCCCCATAAACTTGTGCCACTATAATCATTACAGTGAACAGTATTGGTTGTGATATTGGCTTTAGTAAATATTAGAGTTGCCATTCGAGGGGGGGCGTGACTTTGTGCTCGGGCAAGATGAACCCCTGGATTAGGAGCTCCATCCACCTGGTCCCTTTCAAAAGCTTCCTAACGCGTTTAACCTGGGTCAGATGGGTCAGATTGATACTCCCAGACCGACCAAGCATCCACAGGCAGCGATATGTCCGGATCCCATGGACAAATAACTATCATCTCCAGCAGCCCCTTTGAAGACGGTGGCCTCCAGACACGTGGGCGCAGACATGCAAGGGAGCCGCAGAATATGAGACGAGATACACATCTGACCTGATGGAGTAGATTAGGGCAGATCTCAGGGCAATTACTACCTCAATGTTCACCAAGGCGGATGCAGGCACACTGGAGACGTCGCTGAAACTCACCATCCAGGCAGAATTAACCGTGATCCGACAGGACGTCACTGCTCTACAGAAGAAGGTCTCAGAGATGGAAACGCATGCAGAAAGATCAGACGCCTAACATGGAGCAGCGGAAGTGGCAGCAACAAGGCAGGGGAACTTGCTGCTAGACCAACGGAGGCAGGTTGAAGACTTAAACAAATAGAGGTAAACAAGGCAACATTAAGATTCGTGGCCTGCTGGAGGATAGACCAGCGGAACACCTGGAAGATGCCCTGCAGGCCCTGCTCAACTTCATCTTGGGTAATGAAACACCAGAAAACTTTCAACTGGACCGAGCGCACCGTACCCCCCGCCAACAGAGGCTGGACGGAGTGCAAACGGATGTGGTATGCAGTGTCCACGCGCTCCGGCAGAAGGAGCGAAATATGTTCAAGGCCCGAGAGCGCCAAACCTGGCAATTTAGGAACG